AAAGAAAGAAAGAAAGAAAGAAAGAAAGAAAGAAAGAAAGAAAGAAAATCAGTGAAAGGGGAGGCAGGAGAGGTGTTCTTGGACATGGAGGAGATAGTAGATGGTTAGGCATAAAAAGACCCAAATGGTTAATATCAGTAATGACAGGAGTGTCTTCAGTGAAAGGAGAAATTGGGAGCACCTGTTATGGGTGATAGACAATACCTTGATACAACTAGAGCATCAGAATGCTTTGCTTTTACTCATTTCCTTTCTGTGTGATGCCTAGATAAAGGGAGAGGCTGAAACAGTGGAGACAGAAACTAACAGTGGGTTGGGATACTTTTTGTTATTTTGATTCCTGTTAGTGACTGGGTCGGGTCATCGGCCATCATAGCATTGAGTGCCTTTTATATTTTGCTGGACCCTTTCGGGGAGGGAAGAATATATATGGAGCAAGCAGGGGACTGAGGTGATCTCTTTATCTACGATTGAAAAGCCAGGAAAGCCTAAAGAACTCCCTAACAAAACAGAAGAATATATATGGAGCAAGCAGGGGACTGAGGTGATCTCTTTATCTACGATTGAAAAGCCAGGAAAGCCTAAAGAACTCCCTAAGAAAACAGAATATTTGTTCCATCTTGTTGGGGCTGGACCCAATCTGACAGTGCTGTGGTGGGCCTTCTAGATGCAGCACTGACCTAAAGAGGTAGATGTACCCTTAATGTAAAACTCCTTTCCCTGCTGACTCATGCAATCTTATTGGGAAAGGATGCCTCTGGTTGCTTCTGATGGCTACCAAGTTTCCCTTTGCTCTCCCCAGTGCCCTTCTCTCCATAGTTCCTTTGGGCTCTCAATACATAGAGCTAATCCATACCTGTTGTCCACTGATGAATTACCCGCTGGAGGAAGTCCCTCCATTTTGGCATAGGTTATTACCCCTCTTGGCCTTATGCCCAGAGCATTTTCTGCCGTGGCTTAGGAAAAGAGTAGGTGCTATATCTGTGTTAAAGGATATACTCAGAAGAAAGCAGAAAGACAAATGAATTTCATTTCCCAAAGAGCGGATGGTTAAAGATACAGTAAAAAATTTTGTATAAACCGATCAACAGCCTCCTAGTGGCATAATCATATTCCGTTTGATAACTTGGGTTTCTAGAATTCTTTTTCTTTGACAGGTACTTTTTTTGGTTATCACATCTAACCTGTTCCAGAAGATAATAAATCAATTTGTAGCATTTGATGGTTTCTCGATATTCAGGCTCATAAACTCTCTGCCAGTCTCTGCATCCTGCCTCTTTCAGACAACAAGAAAGAGACTTCTGGCTACAAAATAAATGAGCAGACACCAGCCAGGTAAAATTCATTAGTAGTATCAGTGAACATTGGACTTGAAATCTAGTTAGCTTGGCCTGCCAAAGTGCCCTTCTTCATTTTAACATACAAATGCTGAGGTTGTCACAGTTTTCAGAAGCCATGTCTTACAGGTTTTCTTGATCCGGTTCTTTCCCCTTCCTCAAAACATTTTCGCTGTCCTGTTCCCATTCAGAGCTGTATCTGCCTGTGGACATATACACACACTAAAATAAGGCAGTAGACTTCAGGTACTGGTGATCAAAGAAAAAAAAAAAGATTAGCTCTGCTGAATTTTCATGGTACCATATGTATGATAGAAAAAATATGAGAAGACCATAGTATACTCTAAACTGAGTATGAGTCAGCATTACAGCACTGTTGTTATGGAAGTGAGTATATTACAGGGACATATACTTGGGAACATGGCATTCAGAAACCACAAGTAATTTTCATGGTCTTCCCTGATCCTCTGGTTAAAAATGACCATCCCTCTTGTACCTTCCATAATACATTTTTTTTTTTTTGGCAAGGCAATCAGGATTAAGTGACTTGCCCAGGGTCACAAACCTAGTAAGTCAAGTGTCTGAGGCCGATCTTGAACTCAGGTCCTCCTGACTCCAGGGCCAGTGCTCTATCCACTGCGCCACTTCGCTGCCCCCTATACTATATTTCTTGTAACTCTGTAATTCCCTAATAATATTTTTATTGTTTGATTGTTTTAGTCATGCCTGACTCTTTATGACCCCATTTGGGATATTCTTAGCAGAGATACTGGAGTGGTTTGCCATTTCCTTCTTCAGCTTATCTGACAGATGAAGAAATTGAGGCAAACAGTGAAGTGACTTACCCAGGGTCACATAGCTAGTAAGAGTCTGAGGCCAGATATGAATTCAGGAAGATGAGTCTTCTTGACTTCAGCCAGTACTCTATCCACCTAGATAGAGTACACCTAGCCACCCCAGCAGTAACAAATGTCTGCAGCCTACTAAATTGATGATTCCTTCCGTGAAGACAGAAATCATGTCTTATCTGGATTTTCTATTTCTCCCCAGCACCTAGGACAGTGCTTCACGTATACTGGATATTTAATAAATGGTTGTTAATTTTTTTTTTATCAAGTTCCAAAAATGGGATTTGGGAAGAAAAACTTAGAACCACTGGAATGACTTCCAGGAGAAGAAAAAGATATCTTGTGCTTTATGTTACATGCCACGATGCTGCTACTGACCAGCAGCTTCGCATCCTTCTCCAAGTGGTGGTGATAGATTTATGCTGGTCTTCCTACTTTCTCTCAGCATCGCTAACATAAATTTGTGAGATAGCTACTTGGGGTGGGCGGTGTTGAGGGGACAGTTTATAGTTCCGGAACTGAGTGCAACAAACTGTAATTTAAAGGAATCAAACTCCAAACCTCATTAGTTTTCTCCTCTTTAGGAACAAACTGGCCACAAAGAGGACAAAGCAAAAAGAAATAGACTCTAATTTTAGCCAGAGGAATTGGAATTCTATATAAAGAACTTACCGAGAGTGAGTGTTATTAAGCCCTGGAACAGATTATCTAGGGAGGCAGTAGAATTATCTCCTTGTTCCTTGTTTTTATTCCTTCCTTTTTTTTTCCCTTTCCTTCTCTTCTTTTCTTCATCCCCCGTTAGTTGGAAATCATTTTAGTGAAGTGCTTAAAATACAGAAGTGAATTTTCATAGACTGTGATGCCTAGGAGAGGCAGTAGAGCATAGTGGATTGAGAACTGGTCTCATAGCCAAGGAAACCTGACTTCAGGTCCTGCCTCTGAGACATACTAGCTGTGTGACCCTGGGTAAGTCATTGAACCTCTGTGTGCTCTAAGACAACTCTCTAAAACAGGCATTTGCCAAGACGGTGGACTGGCATTTGCAGAGGGAGTTTTCTTGTTTGAGAGTTCCCTCTACCAGTGAAATCATGAGAGTTAGTCCCGATGTGTATCCTTCTGAATGTTTAAAATAAGTTTCCAGATGACTCTTTCCAGTCTCCAGTTTTCTAAATAAAACCAACCTCTGGTCTCTGATTTTCTTCAGGGGTCCTCATTCTCAGCCATGAAGGATACTTTATTAAAGTAGACCATTAGAGCCTTGAATGCTGCAGACTTGGGAAATGCCAGATCAGTGGACTAACTTACAACTTAATAGGCAATTGTTCTTGACGTTATGTCAGATTTCTCCTGCTTTGAAAAATGAAGCCTATAGATTAATGAGTGCTTTGAACTCTGGTCTGCTCCTATTGTGTTTTATACACATGTATTGATGTAATATAAAACCAAGATAATCCTTTGCTGTTCTTACATTGTTCAGCCTTGCCTTTTCTGTCATTTCAGGGTGGCCCAGAAGTGACGAACTATGTAGCAATCATTTCTCTTTTTTCTTGTATACACATGGGCCCCCATTGACGCTTGAGATCAGAACTGTAGAATTGTGTTTCTGATGTGAGTAGATGATGAAAAGCATCTCTTTCATAGCTTTAAAAGACTCTCAAACTGGCCCACTGTCCAAAAAGTGCCTGAGATTGTGCTGTAATCGTGTGATTTTACTAATATATGTGGATGGGATGTTAAAGCCTCTTAGAATCCCAACAGTAGGAAGTTTCCCGTAGATAGGTAGGTAGGTAAGTTTCCCCTTATGAATGCAGCTCATGAAGGTTTTTGGGGGCAAGGTTTTCCACTCGTCTAGTTTCTTCCTCGTAACATGAATTTTCTTTGTTTTCCCTTTTCTTCTCTTTTTCCCAACAGGTGCTGTGGGTACTCCATTACCTGGAGTAGAGGTGTGCATTGTCTCTGAAAACTCCAGGAACGAGAGCCAACCTTACCTCATTCATGCCCAAGGAGACCAGAACAGAACCAAGGTACTGTAGAGGATATTGGGCAGCCTGTTATTAAATGCTATCCTGGGATTATTGTTAAATCTAGTTCTTGGCATTAAAGAACTTTCCATCAAATCAGGAAGGTAAGATTACCACACAAGTCAGAATTAGAGGACAATGCAAATATAAGTAAATGCTTATTCAGGTAACTAGTTGGTACAGTGGATAGTGGGGCCTGGAGTCAGGAAGATCTGAATTCAAATTCAGCCTCAGACTCTGATTAGCTGTGTAACCTTGGGCAAGTCATTTAATCTCTGTTTGCCTTAGTTTCCTCAACTGTAAAATAAGGATCACAATAGCACCTACTTCTCAGGATTGTTGTGAAGATTAAATGAGAAAATATTTGTCAAGCTGTTAGCACAATGCCTTGAGCATATATAACATGTGCTAATAATAATAATAACAATTATTATTATTATTGTGTAATAATACTGACTTCCTTGGCTTCCTTCAAGTCCCCCGAAAAATCCCACCCTCTACTTTCTCAACTCCTCTAATTCTAGTTTTTTCCCTCTTTTAATTATTTTCTATTTATCCTGTATAAAGTTTGTTTTGTATGCATTTGTTTGCTTGTTGTTTTCCCCGGTAGATTGTGAGCTCCTTGAGGGCAGGGACTGTCTTTTTGCATCCCCAGAGCTCAGCACAGTGCCTGGCATATAGTAGGCACTTAATAATTGTTTATTGACTGATTGACTGTTGTCCTTCATTTTCAAAAAGGACCGATGACATCATGGGGTGAAGTCTTGACTTGTGTGGGAATTGGATTTAAGTAAGGCAGAGTTGTACAAAGTCATCAGCCTCACTCACTTTTCCTAAGTCATCAAAGTCCAGTGGCAGGATAAAAGTCAGTGGTGGCCTGGGATGCAGTGGATGACCTTGGCATGACTGACTGACTGTGGTGCTAGCAATTCAGAAGAGAGAAGGAGGTTCTTTTTTTTTTTAATATTTTTTAATTGATTTATTTTTAGTGTTCAACAATTGCCTCCAAATGCTTTTGAGTTTTAAATATTTCTCCCCTCCCCTCCCCAAGATGGTATGCAATATGATACAGGCGACAAGGGGATTCTTATAAGAGATATTTCAAAGGAAGAATCAAGAGGATTTGGCAATATATTGGAAATGAGGGATGAAAGAGAGTAAGGAGTTGAGTCCGACACCTAGGTTGCAAACTGGGGTGACTGGGAGAATGGTAGTGCACTCACCAATAATAGGGAAATTGAGAAGGGGGGGAGATGAAAGATAATTAGTTCAGTTTTGAACATGTTAAATTTAAAATGTCTGTAGGACATTTATTTTGAGATGTGTAATAAGCAGTTGGAGATGTGAAACTTAGGGTCATAAGAGTGGTACTATATAGAGAGAAAGGTTCTATCCATCCATCTAATCCATTTATCTATCTATCTGGAAGAGAAATATCAGTGTAACCAGAGTAGTTGTGGAATGCTTCTTGGAGGAGGTGTGATTTGTTTCAGTTAGGCCCTGTAGGATGAGTTGGATTTCCATGAGCAAAGAGGAAGGGAAATTGAATTGCATTTATTTGTCATTTTGTGGGGAAAAATTCAGGAAAATACTAACATCTAGGTCCTCCTTTACACAGAAAAGGACTAGGAAAGTCCTTTTCCAGATGAAAGTTCTTTCATCCTCTCCTGTTTCCTATATGAAATATTTACAGTTATGCCTGAATGCCTGAATAATTATGAATGAATAAAAAAGCATTTTTTGACTCTTCATATGTGCAGCACACTGGAGATACCAAAATGGTCCCTACTCTTAAGCTGCTCACAGTCTAATAGAGGAAGACTAGATAAATAGAAAGACTGATAGGTTGATATATATAGATAGATATAAATAGATAGATATGTTTATATGTTTATCTATGTTTATAGATAGATATCTATAATTTATCCATATGTAATCTATAATAGATATCTATATATAGATATATCTATATTAGATATCCTATATATAGGATATCCTATAATAACCTATATATCGTTATCTATATGTAGATAGCCTATATATGGATATCGATAATAGATATCTCTATCAATCTATCTCGAGCTGTCTATCAATATGAGTTTCACTGCAGGGTAAGTAGAAGGCCCTGCAGTAAGGCAGATGAAAAAGTCCACTGGTCCTTAAAGTGAAGCTGTAGAACAGGTGCTGAGTGAGGCCAAGTGGTCAAGAGGGTGCCCCAGCAGGGCATGAGGGCCATTGGTCCAAATGTTGCTGGAGTATGGAGGAGACAGAAAAGTAATGCATTAACCCATCTTTAGTGTCACTATCTCGGTTATTAGCATAATAGAATACTTTCATACTTTTTCCTTAAAAATTGCACACAGTGACAAAACAGGAAAATGATAAATGTGGGAAAATTAGAAGACTAATGCACTGTTGTTGGAATTGTGAACTGATCCAGCCATTCTGGAGAGCAGTTTGGAACTATGTCCAAAGGGCAACCAAACTGTGCATACCTTTTGATCCAGCAACACCACATCTAGGTCTATATCCCAAAGAGATCATACAAATGGGAAAAGGACCCAAGTACAAAAATATTTATAGCAACTCTTTTTGTGGTGGCCAAGAATTGGAAATTGAGGGGATGCCCATCAGTTGGGGAATGGCTGAACAAGTTGTGGTATATGAATGTGATGGAATACTATTGTGCTTAAAGAAATGATGAGCAGGTGGACTTCAAAAAAACCTGGAAAGACTTGTATGGACTGATGCTAAGTGAAGTGAGCAGAACTAGGAGAATGTTGTATACAGTAATAGCCGCAATGTGTGATGACTAACTTTGATAGACTTGGCTCTTCACTGCAATGCAAAAATCTAAGAAAACTCCAAAAGACTCATGATGGAAAATGCTATCCACATCCAGAGAGGGAACTATGGAGTCTGAATGCAGATCAAAGCATATTATTTGCTCTCTCTCTCTCTTTTTTGTTTCTTCTTTCTTGTGTTTTCTCCCATTGGTTCTAATTCTTATTTACAGTATGACTAATGTGAAAATAGGCTTTAAATAAATAAATAAATAAATAAAAGTTTAAAAAATGTACACAAATCTAGAGGTGAATTATCAAATAGAGGATGGGAAGGAAGATACATGAAACAATAAATTTTCAAGGGCATATATACTAATTTTAAAATGTAAATATTTGTAAATATATGTTGTTTAAAGTTGTATTGTTTTTCATTGGTGTCTGACTCTTTGTGACCCATTTGAGATTTTCTTAGCAAAGATACTAGAGCGGTTTGCCATTTCCTTCTCCAGCTCACTTTACAGATGAGGAACCGAGGCAAACCGGGTGAAGTGACTTGCCCAGGGTCACACAACTAGTAAATGTCTGAGGCTGGATTTGATCTCAGGAAGATGATTCTTCCTGACTCCAGGCCCAGCACTCTATCCACTGCACCACCTAGCTGCCCAATTGTTTAAAGTTAAATACATTTATTTTTAAAATAAAGAGTTCACCTTAGGACAACAATAGTTACAAGCTTTGAGTATAAAACTTATCTGGGCAAACTGCCAGAGGTTAGAGTTACATTTACAAGTGGGACAGATCCTGAGTAGGGATCAGAAAGCCAAGACATTAGGCTGCTAACAGCTACCTGCCTATACCAAGTCACACTGCGTAGCCCTTTGGACCCTTGTTCAGACAAGCATGTAATCTTCTAAACTAAGTCCTTGTGATGAGAAACAAAGGCTTACTAGTGGTACATATAGATTAATCTTTATGTATATGCATATGTATGTGTGTGCGTGTATATATGTGTGTGGGTGTGTGTATCTATACACATGTGTGTTTATGGGTGTGAGTGTGTACATGTACACACACACACATGCGCATGCATGTGTGCTCAAAAGTTTAAGGCCACTGCTCTGGAGAACTCAAGTACTGATGGTCTGGTACTGCCTTTATTTTTAATAGTGTTATTTATCATGGACATAATTTTAAACAGCAACAGACCAAAACAAACCTGTACATTTACAATTATTTCCACTTAAAAAAAATGAATTTCTACATAGTGTGGCTGTAAAGCCTCTGTATCTCCTTCCTGTTTTCTGTTGGTTTATTGAGTATTTTTATTTTTATTTTACTTTAATATAGTCATGGTGTGTATACTCTTCTTCTGATCTGTTACTTCTGCTTCATTTTACTTCATATGAATCTTTTCCCATTTCTTTATTGTCCTTCTGTTTATCATTTTAATGGTGTTGTAGCATTCCATTACATTAATTTACCATAGTTTATTCAGCCATTTACCAACTGTTGGACATTTAAGTTAAGTTGTTACCAATTCTTTGCAACTACTAATAATGCTGATATGTATATATGTATGAGTGTGTATAGACGTATTCATATATAACAGATATTTCTCTTTATTTCTTTTTGCCAACACTCAGGGTTTCTTGGTATATTTTGAATAATTTTGTTATTAGGTCAAAAGGTCTGATTATCATTGTGATTTTTGTTGCATGTTGCCAAATTGTTCTCTACAAAAGATTCTGCCAATTTGCAATACCACTGGCAATCAGTCAGCAAGCATTTATTAAATATACTATGTGTCAAGTCTTGTGTTATGGTCTAGGAAAACAAAGACAAGAATTAAACAGTTCTTGCCCTCAAGGAGCTTACATTCTGTCAAGAATATGAGTAGACCTGGTTCTCCACAATAACGTGTCCTTTCTCATTGGTGCGGTTCATGATGTACCACTTACTCAAGGGGTCCATGACTCTGGAAGGGAGAGTGGTGCTGATGACTTTGTACCACTCTGCCTCAATCAAATCCAATTCACTGGCAAATCAAGACATCCCCCTTCTGATGTCACTGGAGGACAGACTACAACCAGCAGAGTGCGTATTCTGTTATCTTGTTTAGGAGGAAATAATTGTTGATTAGAACACGAGGGTCAGTAGTTTTTTCCATTGAGCCATGGCGGGCAGAAGGGAGTGGAATGTAATTCTGCTTATACCAGA